GAATGGAGTTCTCCTAAACATCTGACACATTGCAAATGTCCATCCAAGGTAGGCTTTGAGTCTCTACAGGAGGCGCGGCGTTTGAAGCCCAGAGAGACAAGCATGACAAAAAACTTTTTTGGGGGAGGGGGTAATTATTACTATCAAAACTGTTAACAACCTAACTAAAACTAAGAATTAACTGCTAATAAATGGTGAAAGGTATGAACAACACAGAGAACTGCAGAGGTTCATCTCAGGCCGAGGCTGGCTGAGAAGGAACTGGAGGGTGCGGGCCATGCATGCGCAGTGCCAACTAGCACGGCATGTGCTGGTTGGTACCACGCCTGTGTGGCGCAGCAGGGACTGCTGCAAAATTTAGAAATACATTAGAAGCAAAAACACGATTGTGGACAGGGTACTCATTACTCATTGATGAAGGAAGACAAGAACAGAAAATATGGAAATGGCAGAAGTGCTAAATGATTTTTGTTTCCATTTTCATTGCAACAGGTTAGTAGCAATTGCATATCTAACATAGTGAATGCTAATGAAAAAGAGGTAGGAGAAGAGGCTAAAATAGAGAAAGAACAAGTTAAAAATTACTTAGGCAAGTTTGGTGCAGTGTTCCCCCTAAGCATTCATGGAGCCCAGTGCTTCTGAGTGGGTGGGTCTGATTAATCACCCGTGAAGCTGTGCTGCCCCGCAGTTTAGAGGGAACACTGGTTAGGTGTCTTTGTCACTTCAAAAAATCATGGAACACTGGATAGATTCCAGAAGATTGGAAAAGGGCAAATATAGTGCCAATTTTTTTTTTAAAGGAACAATGTAGGGAATTACAGACCAGTTGCCTTAATTTTAGTATCCAAAAATATAATGAAACAAATAATCAAACAATCAATTTTTGAACACCCAGAAAAACATACGGTGATGTCCAATCCATGCTGAAAGTTGGTTAAGTGCAAATTGTCAAACCAATCTAATACCTTTATTTCACAGGGTAACGAGCCTGGTGGATATGGGGACATGGTAGATGTTGTATATCTTGATTTTAGTATGGCTTTTGATACAGTTTCTCAAGCTTATCATAAAAAAGCTAAGGAAATATAAAGTACTATAAGGTGGTTGTATAACTGGTTGGAAAACCATTCCCAGAGAGAAGTTACAATTGGTCACAGCCATCAGTTCCTGGTCCAGTTTTGTTGAATATCTTCATCAGTGATTTATATAATGATATAGAAAGTACACTTATATAGTTTGCAGACGCAACCCCTCCCAGGTTGGTATAAAGTGCTTTGGAAGATAGGATTAAAATTCAGAAATATTTGGACAAACTGGAGAAATGGTCTGAAGTCAGTAGAGTGAAATTAAATACTGTCTGGACAAACGCAGAGTATTCCACTTAGGAAAAAATTGCATACATACAAAACGGGAAATGACTGTCTTGGAAGGAGTACTGCAGTAAGGTATCGAAGGGTCATAATGAATCAAACTAAACATGAGTGAACTGTGTAACACTGTTGCAAGTAAGAAAACATCACTCTCAGAGGTATTTGCAGGAGTATTGTAAGTAAAAAACAGAAAGTAAGTCTTCCACTCTACTCCATGCTCATTAGGTTTCAACAGGATTATTGTGTCAAGTTGTGGGTGCAACAGTTTAGGAAAGATGTGGTCAAATTGGAGAAAGTCCAGAGAAGAGCAATAAAAATAATCATAGCTCTAGAAAATATGACTTATGAAGGAAGATTGAAAGAATTAAGTTTGTTTAGTCCGGAGAAGAAAAGACTGTGGGGAAACATAAAATAGTTATCAAGTACGTACAATGTTGTTACAAGGAGGAGGGAAAAACTTGTTCTTCTTAACCTCCGAGGATAAGACAAGAAGAAGTAGGTTTAAATTGCAGCAAGGAAAGTTATGTTTTGACATTGGGAAAAATTTCTTAAATGCCGGGATCGTTAAACACTGGAATAAACTGCCCAAGGAAATGGTGGAAGTGGTTGCAAGTGCATTGGAAGATAGGGTCATAATGCAAAGTACTCCACTTAGGATGGAACCATCAGTTTCACACATACAGAATGGGAAGTGTTTAGGTTGAAGGAAGGTTTAGGTTGAACATCAGGAAAAACTTCCTGTTAGGGTGGTTAAGCACTGGAATTAATTGCCTAGGGGTGTTGTGGAGATATTTAAGAGCAGGTTAGGCAGACACCTATCAGAGATGATCTAGACAGTACTTGGTTTTGCCATGAAGGCAGAGGACTGAACTTGATTACTGAGGTCCCTTCTAGTTCTATGATTTATCGAGAGTTATTGAGCCCCCAGGGTGCTGAGATGAGTTCCCACATAGATTATTGATGACTTCTTTGAAAGGTTCCCTTGGATGTTCCATGCTTGGTCTTGTTGCCATACAGTGCCTGGATCAGAGAATGTTTTCTTGTTACCCTCCAAATCTCCAGATAGTTAAATCTTTTTTGTACCTTGTCCTCTCTAATTTTGTCCCTTCAAACTTGTGGAATTTGTATATATTAATCCTTTCTAATTTGAACTAGTTTCCACTTTCTCTTTTTTGTGTTTGAAACAATTAAAGATTTTCCAGCATAGTGGAATAGTTTGCTCTTGTGTCTGTCTCTCTAAGGCCTGGTCTACATTAGGGGAGACATTCAAATTAAGATAAGCAACTTCAGCTATGTTAATTACGTAGCTTAAGTTGAAGTATCTTAATTAAATTTTGGCACTGTGCACTCTGCAGGAAGTTGAAGGAAACACACTCTCCGTTCAACTTCCATTACTCCTCATAGAAGCAGGACTAATGGCATCAATGGGGGCACTCTCTCAGGTTGAATTAGTGTGTCTTCACTAGAATGCTGGAAGAGCGACTGCAGCTACTTCAATCTTATCTGTAGTGTAGACATTGCCTTAGAAAAACTGACAACTGTCTTCAACTGTTTTTCCTCTTAAGATCCCCTGAGAAGCAAGTCTATCTACCAAATTCCTGAGTTTGCTAAAGTCTGCCTTCTAGAAATCCATTATTTTCATTGTACTGTATAGCCTCCTATCATTCCTTAAGTATCAGAGGGGTAGCCGTGTTATTAAGTTTCAGAGGGGTAGCCGTGTTAGTCTGAATCTGCAGAAGCGATGAGGAGTCCTGTGGCACCTTATAGACTAACTGAAGTGTAGGAGCATAAGCTTTCGTGGGCAAAGACCCACTTCGTCAGATGCATGTAGTGGAAATTTCCAGAGGCAGGAATAAATATGCAGGCCAGGATCAGGCTGGAGATGACCAGGTGGATCCAATCAAGGAGGATGAGGCCCACTTCTAGCAGCTGATCTGGAGGTGTGAATTCCAAGAGAATAGAAGCTGCTTTTGTAGTTAGCAAGCCATTCACAGTCTTTGTTTAATCCAGAGTTGATTGTGTCAAACTTAAAGATGAACTGTAGCTCAGCAGTTTCTCTTTGAAGTCTGGTCCTGAAGTTTTTTTGCTGCAGGATGGCTACTTTTAGATCTGCAATTGTGTGTCCAGGAAGATTGAAGTGTTCCCCTACAGGTTTTTGTATGTTGCCATTCCTAATATCAGATTTGTGTCCATTGATTCTTTTACGTAGGGACTGTCCTGTTTGGCCGATGTATATAGCAGTGGGGCATTGTTGGCACATGATGGCATATATTACGTTGGTGGATGTGCAGGAGAATGTACCAGTGACAGTATGGCTGGTCTGGTTAGGTCCTGTGATGGTGTTGCTGGTGTATATATGTGGGCAGAGTTGGCACCGAGGTTTGTTGCAAGGATTGGTTCCTGAGTTCGAGTTATTATGGTGCGGTGTGTAGTTGCTGGTGAGAATATGCTTCAGGTTGGCGGGTTGTCTGTGGGCAAGGACCGGCCTACCTCCCAAGGCCTGTGAAAGCGAGGGATCATTGTCCAGGATGGGTTGTAGATCACTAATGATGCGTTGGAGAGGTTTTAGCTGGGGACTGTAGGTGATGGCCAGTGGTGTTCTGTTGGTTTCTTTCTTGGGCTTGTCCCGTAGCAGGAGGCTTCTGGATACACGTCTGGCTCTGTCAATCTGTCTCCTCACTTCCTCGTGTGGGTATCGCAGTTTACAGAATGCTTGTTCTCAATTCTCAATCGGTTCTTCCCTATTTGTCAAAATAAAATCTAGAGCAGCCTCTCCCCTAGAAATTTTCTCCACTTTCTAAAATAAAAAATTGTCTCCAATACATTCTATGAACATGTTGGATACTTTTTTTTCCTATTATATTATTTTCCCAACATATGTCTGGGTAGTTGAAGTTTCCCATCACCACCTAATCCTATATGTTGGATGATTTTGTTAGTTGTGTAAAAAAACCCCTTCATCTGCTACTTCTCCCTGGTTAGGCAGACTATGCTACACCCCTCCAATGACATCACCCTTTTGTTTTACCCCTTTTGTCCTTACCTAATTATTTTGTACAAATATGTCTCCTAAGTCCCTCTCCTCCTCAGCCCAAGTTTATACATTTTTGATATATAAGGCAACACCACCTCCATTTTTCCCCCATGCGTCCTTCCTGAGTAAACTGTACCCTTTTATATCAATATTACAGTCATGTATATAATCCCATCAATTCTCTGTGATGACAACTCTCTCATAGCTGAAAGTATTATTTCTAATTCTTCCTGCTTATTCCAAATAATTCTAGCTTTAATGTACAGAAGTAACAGAGGCAAGCAAATGCACAGGAGAAATGCGGTGCAATGAAAAACCCATCACGATAATGTAGGAAAAGACAAGGGATAACCCAAATGTAACTTAGTATTTTGAAAGAGCACAGAGGCAGCGTAGAATGTGCTGACAAAGAAACTTTCATTCTGAAAGAAAGCAATTTTAGTTTGATTAAAATCAAGTTGTAAAGGGGGTTTTAATCAATCCAAAATGTTCAGAAACAATGATGAAAACTAATTAAATACATTTCTAAAAAATTATGTAAAAAAGTTGAAAAACATGAAATCGAAAGTAAAAATCTAGAGAAAAACAAAAAGTACCTCATCACCCATTTGTGGAACAAATGGACATCGACGAGGAATAGTATCTGTAATCCATGCTGAAGGTAACCATTCTTCCAATGTCAAGCCATTTTCTGCCAAAACTCCTACAGTCAACCTCTAAAGAAAGGGCACAAAAATAAAATATTAATAAGAATAATTAGCCTTTACCAAAATTCACAATTTGCTCCCAAAATATATTCTCATTTTGTCAAAATCTCAACTGGAATTTTGTGAAAATTATTTTTATCATATAAGGGAAAATACATGATTATGAAATAATAGAGTTCATGATCTTAAGGAAAGGTAGAAGGGAGACCAGCACAATTGAGGTTATGGATTTCAGGAAGGCAGATTTTGATAAGCTCAGAGAACTTGTAGGTAAGGTCCCATGGGAAGCAAGACTGAAGGAAAAACAACTGAGGAGAGTTGGAAGTATTTCAAAGGGACGTTGTTAAGGGCCCAAAAGCAAACAATTCCGCTGTGTAGGAAAGATAGAAAATATGGCAAAAGACCAGCTTGGCTTAACAAGGAGATCTTGCACAATCTCAAAATAAAAAAGGAGTCATATAAAAAATGGAAACTAGGACAAATAACAAAGGATGAATATAGGCAAGCAACACAGGAATGCAGGGGCAAGATTAGAAAGGCAAAGGCACAAAATGAGATCAAACTAGCTACAGGCATAAAGGGAAACAAGAAGACCTTTTATAAATACATTAAAAGCAAGAGGAAGACCAAGGACAGGGTAGGCCCACTGCTTAGCGAGGAGGGAGAAGCAGTAACAGGGAACTTGGAAATGGCGGAGATGCTCAATGACTTCTTTGTTTCGGTCTTCACCGAGAAGTCTGGAGGTGTGCCTAACGTAGTGAATACAAGCAGAGAGAGGGTAAGTTTAGAAGATAGGATACACAAAGAACAAGTTAAAAATCACTTAGGAAAGTTAGATGTCAGCAAGTCACCAGGTCCTGATGAAATGCATCCCAGGATACTCAAGGAGCTGATAGAGGAGGTATCTGAGCCTTTAGCTATGATCTTTGAAAAATCATGGCAGACAGGGGAGATTCCAGAAGACTGGAAAAGGGCAAATATTGTGCCCATCTATAAAAAGGGGAATAAGAACAACCCAGGAAACTACAGACCGGTCAGTTTAACGTCTGTCCCAGGGAAGATAATGGAGCAGGTAATTAAGGAAATCATATGCAAACACTTGGAAGGTAATAAAGTGATAGGGAATAGCCAGCATGGGTTTGTGAAGAACAAGTCATGCCAAACTAATCTGATAGCTTTCTTTGATAAGATAACGAGCCTTGTGGATAAGGGAGAAGCGGTGGATGTCATATACCTAGACTTTAGTAAGGCATTTGATACGGTCTCGCATGATATTCTTATTGATAAACTAGGCAAATATAACTTAGATAGGGCCACGATAAGGTGGGTGCATAATTGGCTGGATAACCGTAGTCAGAGAGTTGTTGTTAACGGTTCTAAATCCTGCTGGAAAGGGATAACAAGTGGAGTTCCTCAAGGGTCTGTTTTGGGACCCATACTGTTCAACATCTTCATCAATGATGTAGATATTGGGATAGAGAGTACGCTTATTAAGTTTGCAGATGATACCAAACTGGGTGGGGTTGCAACTTCTTTGGAGGATAGGGACATAATTCAAAATGACCTTAGCAAGTTAGAGAAATGGTCAGAGGTAAACAGGATGAGGTTTAATAAAGAGAAATGCAAAGTGCTCCACTTAGGAAGGAACAATCAGTTCCATACATACAAGATGGGAAGCGACTGTCTAGGAAGGAGCATGGCAGAAAGGGATCTAGGGGTCATAGTGGACCACAAGTTGAATATGAGTCAACAGTGTGATGCTGTTGCAAAAAAAGCAAATATGATTCTAGGTTGTATCAACAGGTGTGTTGTAAGCAAAACTCGTGAAGTCATTCTGCCGCTCTACTCTGCACTAGTTAGGCCTCAGCTGGAGTACTGTGTCCAGTTCTGGGCGCCACATTTCAAGAAAGATGTGGAGAAATTGGAAAGGGTACAGAGAAGAGCAACAAGAATGATTAAAGGTTTAGAGAACATGACCTATGAAGCCAGGCTTCATGAACTGGGCTTGTTTAGTTTGGAAAAAAGAAGATTAAGGGGGGACATGATAGCGGTTTTCAAATATCTAAAAGGGTGTCACAAGGAGGAAGGAGAAAATTTGTTCCTCTTGGTTTCTGAGGACAGGACAAGGAGTAATGGGCTTAAAGTGCAGCAGGGGAGGTTTAGATTGGACATTAGGAAAAAATTCCTAACTGTCAGGGTGGTCAAATATTGGAATAAATTGCCAAGGGAGGTGGTGGAATCTCCCTCTCTGGAGATATTTAAGAACAGGTTAGATAGACATCTGTCAGGGATGGTGTAGACAGAGCTTGATCCTGCCTTGAGGGCGGGGGGCTGGACTCGATGACCTCTCGAGGTCCCTTCCAGTCCTATTATTCTATGATTCTATGATTCTATGACATGACCAAATTGCAAATGCTATTGAAAAGTTTATGATAATTTTATAGAGCAGCAGCAAAATGAGATTTTATAATCAAAACAATAAAACTTGAACATAATATTTTGTACCCAAATAATATTTGACTAATGTACATACAGTATGAATTGATTAGAATCCAGCCATGTGAAAAATTTTGAGGGATGAGAGATAAGCAACTAAAATTTCCCAAGTTCTATATTTTATTGCTGACTGATCTTCAGAGATTTAAAATGTGATGCTCAGGCAAGTCTTTACTAATTACCACCAAATTAGGAGAAATTTTCATGGACATGGCAAAATCCCTGACACAAATGCCACTCCTCCTGCCCCAGACCCACTTCCTCAGATCAAATAGTGGAAGAAAGTAGTCACAACCATATATACCAAAGGATACAATTTAAAAAAATGAACAAATATGAAAAGGACAAATCACATTGCAGAACAGAAGGGGGATGCGGGGGGGTGGGAAGGGGGAGGAAGGAAGGTAAGTGTCTGTGAATTGCTGATATTAAAGGTAGGGAGAGTGGGATGTTTGTGAGTTAATGGTATTACAGGTGATAATTGGGGAAACTGTCTTGATAATGGGTGAGAAAGTTCAAAGACTTGTTAAGTCCTTGTCCGTAAGTGTCGAATTTTAACATGAATGACAGTTCAGAGGATTCCCTTTCAAGTGCAGATGTAAAAGGTCTTTGTAGCAGACCTTAAAAGTATGGCAGTATTAGGGCTTCTCAAAGAAAAGGTTGCCAGAATAATAGCTGCACATTAAGTTCAGTTAGTTACTGTACAGTAACTATGGTTCTTTGAAATTAAGTCCTTGTCCGTAAGTGTCGAATTTTAACATGAATGACAGTTCAGAGGATTCCCTTTCAAGTGCAGATGTAAAAGGTCTTTGTAGCAGACCTTAAAAGTATGGCAGTATTAGGGCTTCTCAAAGAAAAGGTTGCCAGAATAATAGCTGCACATTAAGTTCAGTTAGTTACTGTACAGTAACTATGGTTCTTTGAAATGCTAGGTGGCGCCTTTGCTCGGGTGTCCCTGGTCTGCTGGGGGG